GGATATTTATAACATCATTCCTGGGCCATACAAAATTATCAACTTAAAAATTAGCCTGCTATATTTGGCCAAACATTTAATTAACTCACCCCTAATGCCTTGGTAGGGACAGACCAAATGATTTCATGGGCCTTCTAGGGCCCGAGGGCCAGATGTTCCCCATCCCTGATGTAAAATAAAGCATTAAGTAAAGACTTCCATGTGCTCAGAACTGCCTTATTATATGCACATTCCTGTTTTCAATTTGAGGTGGGTAAAGGACAAACAAAGGTCTTATAGGCATCAAGACTTACTCAGAGAACAGACGTGTGAGACACACAGCTCTAACACCAATATTCACAAGTCTACAAAATTACTTTAAAACACTGAAATACAACAGCATCATTAACCAATCTTAAAAACTGTAGTCTACCAGCAGAGTAGTTGTTCATGTTTTGAGCTTTAAAAATACTTATTAGGACAGAATTTGAGGATCATAAGGCCAGAGAAATGTTTCATTCCAAACTTTCTTAGATATACATGATTGTTTCTCAACAGTTTCAGAGGTGAGTCACAATGTAAGAATTATAAATCTGGAGTACTATAAAAATAAAAATACAGCTGGCCAGTGTGGCTCAGTAGTTGAGCATCGACCTATGAGCCAGGAAGTCATGGTTCAATTCCCAGTCATGGCACATACCTGGGTTGTGGGCTTAATGCCCAGAGGGGAGTGTGCAAGAGGCAGCCAATAAATAATACTCTCTCATCATTTGTATTTCTATCCTTTTTCCCTCTCCCTTCCTCTCTGAAATAAATAAAAATATATTTTAAAGAAATACAGCATTTTCTACTCTCCGAATTAAAAGTGAGGGAATGAACAATCATTTAGAAATAATCTGAGAATATTCATTATACTCTAAATAGAAGTGGTAACAATGGAAGACTAGCCTGTTGGCATATTGCAAAATCACCCTCTATTTACAACTGAGCAGGAGCTTTTAGATTTCTAGCATCAAACTACTGTTAGATGAAATAGCAAATAAAAGTAGATATTAAACTTGTCTATACAATATATTATACAGAGTGACCTAGGAGTCACAAAATATTAATAAATTGCTGACATAATAATGCTATTCATTTAAAAATAAGCATCCATTATTTTACATAGAATATTGATAGAGATGCCCCCATTCAACAGTAATATAATTACAGAATAATATACTTGCAGAGTATTCCAAAATATGCCCTATTGATGAAGACTCCCACAGTTATTAAGTTTGGGAACAGAGCACTAGAAATTCATGTTCATTAGCACATTGCAGATTTTGAGAAGTCCTGCAGTAAAAAACCCACTTAACATAATTTAAACCAGTGTTTCTCAAACATAATTAACAGGGCACTTTATTCCCAAGATGAGTTATTAACACACTTAAAGAAACGCTAATACATACACGTATGTAATCACCATCTCTAAAAGTTTAGAGCACATTCCATCCATATAACATGTACAGATTCTATAAACATTCTGAATCCTTTGTAGGTTGCTGTTTAAGTTATAATTTCCTTTTCTAACTGTTTAATTTGAGGGAAAAAAGTGATTCACTTGAGAGAGCAATTTCTGGAGATAAGTTTATAGGAGGGAAACTGTCACTCTTTTGGTCTGTATGGGAAGAGACACTAGTCACCCTCTATTCAATACTCTTGTTAAAAACCTTGCAGTCATTTTTGATCCTTACTCCTCACTCATTACCCCAGTCCACTACCTGGCCTTACTGACTGTACCTTTCTACACTGTTCTCCAGTCCATTTCAATCTTTCCTTCCCCAATGCCACTGTTCTAGTTCAAGATACCATTAGTGTTTGCCAGGGAAATTAAATAACTTTCCAAGTGGTTTCCCTAAATCCATTATTTATCCCATACATTGCAACCAAAATAGCCTATTAACATTTAGGAATGTTTTCTACATACCAAAAATACATCTATACTAATACAGCAAAAAGAATGGCAAAATTATCAAGAAATAAAATATTTCTAAGACATGTGTGATCCTCTTCCTTATTCCAGAGGTAAGCACTATCTGAATTTTATGAGTATTATCTCCCCTTCCCTCCCCTTCTCCCCCCTCCCTTCCCCTCTCTTCTCCTTTCCTCCTTTCTTTCTTTGTTAATTTTCACATGGGGATATTTTTTCCACTGATTTTTAGAGAATGGAAAGGAGGGAAGGAGGGAAGGAGAGGGACAGGGACAGAGGGAGAGAGAGAAACATCAATGTGAGAGAGACACATTGATTGATTGCCTCCCACATGTGCCCCAACTGGGGCTGGGGATGGAACCTGCAACCCAGTTACATGCCCTTGACTAGAAATGGAATCCACCACCTTTGGGTGCATGGGGTGAGGCTCTAACCACTGAGATCACCATCCAGGGCTTTCCATACTATTTTCCATAGTGGCTGCACTAATTTACAACCCTACTAACAATGTCTGAGGGTTCCTTTTTCTCCACATCCTCACCAGCACTTATTTTTTGATTTATTAATGAGTCATTCTGACAGGTGTGAGGTGATGTTTCATTGTGGTTTTAATGTGCATTTCCCTGATGACTAGTGATGTTGAGCACTTTTTCATATGTCTAATGGCCATCTGTTTATCCTCTTTAGCGAAATGTCTATTCAGGTCCTCTGCCCATTTTTAACTGGATTATTTGTTGTTGTTTTCTTGTGTATGAATTCCTTGTATATTTTGGATACTATCTCCTCATCAGATGTATTGCTTGCAAATGTCTTGTCCCATTTAGTAGACTGTCTTTTCATTTTGTTGGTTTTTTGCTGTGCAAACACTTCTTAGTTTGACACAGTCCCATTTGTTTATTTTCACTTTGTTGCCCTTGCCCAAGAAGACATATCAAAAGATATCGCCAAGAACAATGTTAAAGTGTTTACTGATTTTTTCTTCTAAGAGTTTTATGGTTTCAGGTCTCACATTTAAGATTTAATCCATTTTGAGCTTATTTTTGTATATGGTGTAAGAAAGTGATCCAATTTCATTTTTTTTTTGCATATATCTATTGTTTCCTCAAAAATCACTTATTGAAGAGAATATCTTTGCCCCATTGTATAGCCTTGTCTCCTCTGTCATGCATTAATTGACCACAGAATTTATTTGTGGGCTCTCAATTCTATTCCATTGATCTATATATCTGTTTTTATGCCAGTACCATGCTGTTTTGATTATTATAGCTTTGTAGTATACTCTGAAATCAGGGAGCATGACTGATAGCGTCCACTTTGTTCTTATTCAAGATTTCGCTGGCTATTGAAGTTTTTTGTGGTTTCATATATATTTTAGGATTAGTTGTTTTAATTCTGAGAAGAATGTCTTTGATATTTTAATAAGGATTACACTGAATCTGTAGATTGCTTTAGGTAATAAGGACATTTTAACAATTTTAATCCTTCTAATCAAAACAGCAAGGTATATCCTTCCATTTATTTGTATCTTCTTCAATTTATTTTAAAGTGTCTTACAATTTTCACATTACAAGTCTTTCTCACCTTTTCCTAGGTATTTTATGTTTTCTGGGGCAACTGTAAATAGAATTATTTTCTTAATTTCTCATTCTGATTGTTCATTATTGGTATATAGAAACATAATAGATTTCTGTAACCTACAACTTTACTGAATTCACTTATTAGTTCTAAGAGATTTTTGGTGGGGTTCTTAGGGTTTTCTATCTATAGAATCATGTCATCTGTAAGTAATGAGAGTTGTACTTCTTCCTTTCCAATCTGGATGCCTTTTAATTCTTTTCCTTCTCTGACTGCTATGGCTAGGATTTCTAATGCCATGTTGAATAGAAGTGGTGAGAGTGGGCATCATTGTCTTGTTCTTAATCTTAGAGGCAAAGCTTTCAACTCTTCACCAATGAGTATAATATTAGCTGTGGGTTTCCCATATATAACATTAACTTGTTGAGATATGTTACTTCTCTATATATTTTGTTGAGATTATTTTTATAAAAGAATGTTGAATTTAACAAAATCCAATTTCTGAATCTATTGAGATGATCATATGGTTTTCCCTTTATTTTGTTAATGTGGTATATCACATTATTGATTTATAAATGTTGAACCATCCTTGTATCCCTGGGATGAATTCCACCACGTTATGGTGTATAATCCATTTAATGTATTGTTAAATCTGATTTGTTAATATTTGGTTGAGAATTTTTGCATTTATGTTCATCAAGGATATTGGCCTGTAAATTTTTTTTTAATTTTTGTCATTTCTTTGTCTGGCTTTGGTATCAAGGTAACACTTACTTTGCAGAATGAGTTCATAAGTGTTTCTTCCTTTTCAATATTTTGATATAGTTTAAGAAAAGGCATTAGTTCTTTTTTGAATGTTTGGTAGAATTCACCTGAGAAGTTATCTAGTTCTGGATTTTAATTTGTTGGAAGTTTCTGATTACCGCTTCAATTTTATTACTAGTAATCAGTCTGTTTAGATTTTCTATTCCTAACCAGTTTAGTCTTGGAAGGTTATATACTTCTAGAAATTTATATATTTCTTCTAGATTGTCAAATTTGTATCTCTATGGTATCAGTTGTAACTCCCTCATTTATGATTGCATTTGCATGTACCTGGGTTGCAGGCTTGATAGCTAGCCCTGGCTGGGGCAAGTGTGGGAGGCAGCCAATCAATGTGTCTCTTTCATATCAATGTTTCTCTCTCTCTCTGTCTCTCCCCCTCCCTTCTACTCTCTATAAAAATCAATGGAAAAATATCCTTGGGCTAGGGTTAACAACAACAAAAAATTTTTTTAAATTAAAAAAATATGTATGGCTGGAGACATTAAGTAAGCCAGGCAATTTCTAGCATTTGCCCCATGTGAAACTTTGATATAAATGTAAGGATTCCAAGTTATGGGAGGGGGAAGGTGATCACAACCTACTAACTACTGATGGATACACTAGCAGAACCACTCAACGGCACACGACAGGATCAAAATGCTAGACTCACAGTGTTTGGAACGTATGGTAAGCCATAAAATTTCTCCTGTGTTTCCTTGAGAATGTCTGTGGTTGACCGCCTCAGGGGATGCTTCCCATGGTAAATTTGATCCAAAATGGCATAAAAGACCTAGACAGATGAAAACATTTATTTAGTTTGGGTAGCCCTTCTTATACCTAAGATGTGTTTGACCAAAGATGTTATATGCATTCCAGAATAATAATTTTAAATCACAGTCTAAAACATTCACAAATATAGATGTATATGGCTTGAGATATATTTTGTTCATTATTTAACACCATGTCAATGATAAAAAGGAAAGCTCTCAACCTTTCACAATTAAAGATATTAAAGAATTTTGAATCTTATCTGTAAGGTACTCTTTAAAATATAATGTAGCAACTTAAATTTGTGAACTAAAATTTGCCTTTCTTTGTATTGGCAATAAATATGGTTAAAAATATGAAAAATTAAGTTATGACCGTGACTCCAGAACCTAACAAATACTGTTTGTTTTATTCCTGGAATCCCATATATCTTAAGTGAGAAAAATGAAATGGTCAGAATCCTAGTTTTGTAAGGAGATAGATGTAAGAGAAGATAAATAGGTGGGGTGAGGTGGAGAAAGCAATAACAATCTAGTGTCTGGTGAAGACAGATATTACAAAGAATTCTGGTACAGCTGTTGGAGAATCTGGATCTAGAGCCAAGTCAGTCCCCACATCTGGTGCCAGGAGGTGCAAAAGCAGCAGCTGCTGTGCAGGGACAATTCTGGCTTAAGGAGGTGACCAGAAGAAAAGGATCACTCACCTCAAAATAGAAGATATAGGCTATTGAAACATAATAGGAGAATAAAGCATTAGAAAAAGTTTGAATGTGAAATCTGCTGCTTATAAAGTTCTGAAAACTAAATTTTGCATAAAATCTATAGTAATGATAAATTTTTTTGACTTGACTGTTAGCATTGTTAATAAGTAGAAAATGATTTATTTTGAAAAAAAATTCTGTTATGCAATTATGTTTCTGATATGTATCTTTCTGATTCAAAAACAGAATTTGCAGAGAATGTGCAGCTGTTGATTTGAAAGAAGTGAGGATTAGTTTGGATAAAAGAGAAATTTAAATGACTTGTAGCTTCTGGCTGCATCTAGATATAGAATTATGGTTCTAAATTATAAAGTCAAGTTTAAACATTCCCTAGAAAAATATAGAGATTTTCTAAATATAAATATTGCTTTACTCTAACTGGTAATCTAAACGTATAGCTAAATATAGCTCTTTCAATTCTATATTCTATAATAAGTAACAATGCATAAAGATAAACAGGAGCCAAAATTACCCATACAAGTCTTGTCTATATTCTAACTGAATAAATTATTAGGAATTAAAACTTTTAAATTCTAACCTCAACTGAGGTGTTGATTTTTTTGGTGTGTGTGTGTTTTGCCACAATCTATAAACAAGTAAGAATTCAAGAGTTTCATTCTTTCAATTTTACCTTTCACAAATGAAAGGCATAAGCATGGAAGATTTTTTTAAATTATAAAAACACAGCAAAGTAAATTAAATGCATGTATTTCGTGCTCATTTGCAGATAAACCAAACAATTCTAAAGTGATGAGCCTATTTGCTCACCAAGGGAATCATGCATGCTTTGGATCAAGATCCTTAGAGCTACAGAAAATTAAGAGTCTATTTATAAAACAATGCACTACAAAAAATAAAAAATAAAAAAATTACAATTTTAATACCCTTCTAGAAATCTGAAATAATCCATTTCCTTTCCACCTTTGTTTTTCTCCACTGTACAAAGAGACTATTGTATAATATGAAAGCTGGTTCCTGCGGTTCCTCTGGTAAGAGGTTCTCTCTCCTGTCTCTCTCTCTCCCCTCCTCCCTCTCCCTTTCCAGCTTTCCCATTCTCTCCCAATCAAGGGGTTACTCTTTCTAGAAGGTGGGAGGAGTGAAAAGTTAGTTTTCCATTTTAAAAGAATATCATTGGAACAACTGTTCAAAATAAGAGCCATGACAAAAGGTTTTAAACTAGGACTTGTACTATAATTATCAGCAAATCAAAAGACTTTTTCCAAGTACTAGTAATGCTAATTTTAAAAAATAATTCAGAAATTCATTTTTAATTATATTGATACTAGAGGCCCGATGCATGAAGATTCATGCAACAATAGGTCTTCCTTCCCCTGGCTGCCGGCACCGGCTTCCCTCTGGCACCTGGGACCCGGCCTTCGCTCTGGTCACTGCCTTCCGCCTTCGCTCCAGCCACTTGGCCTTTGCTCTGGCCACCGCCCTCCTGTAGCTCCCTCCACCCCCCGCACCCTCCCTCATAGCAGGCATCCTGCCCAGCCCAGGTCGCTCCGCGCCTGCACGTGCGTGCTGCCCAGAGGCCTGGAGCGGCCAGGACGGGGTGGAACGCCTGCATCGTCGCCATGGCAACGGTACAAGCATCCGGGCCTGGCTGCTGCCATCTTTGTCACAGATTGACAGTTAATTTGCATATTGTGTCTTCATTAGATAGGATAGATACTAAATAATGTAAATCAAATGTAAGTTTACTGTTTTGTCTACAGTAGGTATTTTCTTTACTGAAATATGTATTTTAAGGTACAGAAAAAGCTCATTACTTACTTTTTAGGGACTGAATTTTACAAAACTATAAAACAATTAAGGAGTGGCTACACTTTTAAATAGGTAACTAGATCATTATAAAGTAAATATTTTGAGATGCTTGAGATGAAAGATGGGTGTTTAGGTTATGTTTATATAACTCCCAAGATCTGAAGATAAGTAAGAATTCCACAAGCAATCTCAGTAATTACAAACAACTTAAACATCTGGTATCATATAGACCTGACATCCTATATAATAAAACCCTAACATGCAAATTGACTGAACGGTGAAACAACCAGTCAGGGCAGCTCCTGTGTTGAGCGTTTGCCCCTCAAGAGGGAGGTGACTGGTGGTGGCGATTCGGGGGTGGGGCCATGAGCGGGCAGCGCCAGGCCACCAGCCAAGGCGGGTGACAGTAGGCGGGTCCCTCCTCCCCCGATCACCCCGCCTGCCGGTCGCCCCACAGATTCTGATTGCTGGCCAGGCCTAGGGACCCCACCCTATATATTGGGAACAGTCTCTTAGATTTAAAAATTAAGAGGCAAGGCTACTCTAACACTGAAAAAACAGGATGATGCAGCAATGACATGCATTAACTCTGGCTTGCACATTTTGTGGTCAGCTCTGACTCTGACACTTATATGTGACAAAGTGTGACAAAGCCAACTACTTAACTTCTCTGTGCTTCACTTTTTCCACCCATAAGAACGGAAAAATAGTACTACTGCCTTTGTACTATTTTTTTATAATCAGGGCAAAAAAAAATGTAGCTGCCCATACAACAGCAAGATGCCTTTCACCTGTATAAAAAGTATGGTCACTGGTGCATGCAGCGTCAGACATCCCCCAAGGGTACAGCTGGGCTGAGGGACACTCCCCCTCTGGTGCATGAATTTCGTGCACTGGGCCTCTAGTCTTTTTATAAAAAAAGATGACTCATAAAGTCTTTTTAGTCTTTATCTGGAAACCTGGAAAACAGGTTTTGAATGTTATCGAAATAAAGTCATTACTCTTCATTAGACTTCACACCTAAAAACACATTTTTTTTAAAGCAAAGTGAATAACAATATATAAATTTGTTGCTAAAATGTATGATTTAGAAGAAATCATGTAACATTTCCACGTTTTGATTTTCCAGACTGAATACAGAAAATAACCACATTTAACATCTACTTCATTAAGACAGTGAGGATTGAATTAGTCAATTTGGTTAAGTTCTTTGAACTCAGATGAAAGATGTTTTAGAAGCATAATTATTATAATAAATGTGTAGCATTGGAAATAATTTAAAGTTATATATTTATTTTGAATAATTACTCTGGAAAACTTCAGAACAATTTAAAGAGTTAAGACATGAACAAAGGTACATACATACCTGAAGTTGCATATCAGCTGCAGCACAAACCTTTTTAGATTCACAAAGACGAGACACCATATTTTTGGGCATTGACTTGAAAAACAAAAGAATATATATGTGAGTAAATTGCTTAATAAGGTATTGAACTTTGTTACTTAAGAGGTGGTAAAGTTTAAAAGTTAATACTTTTTCTGCTCCTTTGTAACAATGAATGAAAGCCCATTCAAGTGCTCTGTTGACTTGTAAGTGAATAGAATAAATGGTTATAGAAATAAAAGATTAAAATGTCAACAAATAAATTCTAATTCCTAGTGCCAATAAATTCTATTGGAGCTGAACTGATATGCTAACAAATACCCATGATACTGAATTGTATATTCTTTTATTTTCCCACCTGAAAGAACTGCAGAGCTCATGTAGTCAGTGTAATGTACCTGTATGATGCATGCTTCCTCTCTGAGACTAATCAGGCCTAATCCCATAACATCACATCTCTGAGAAATAAACTAGTAATGGAGTTAAAGGAGTACTTTAGGCCATCTTAATATACTTTAAAATCATTAATACTGATATTTATTGAAGAAAGCTACTACTTTATAGAATTCTACTTATAATCTAATTTAAGCTAAAAGCCCCTCTAAAGAGAAGTCCATTATATAAAAGACCTATGGCAGGTTACCCAGCACTCAAATGATATAAATAAGGCACCAATGAATGAAAATGTGAGCTGTAAGGGGAATTAAGCTTTCCCCCTCTCTCTCCCCCACAGAACAGTGGCTGGCACACAGCAGATAATAAATATTTGCAGAAGGAAAGAGTGAACACCAGAATGATCATTAAAAAATGTCTTCTTAAATAAAAGATTAAGTAGTAAATGACGAAGGCTCAGGTCTCTTCTTGTTTGTAATAAAAGCAAACCAGGCAGAAAAGGCAATTTAAAGAGTTAAGACAGGGACTGAAGGAAGTTGCATAGTGTTAAGTTGTGATACAGGTAAAAGGACTGGGGCTTTTTGACACTGGGACACCTACCCTGTATAAAACAAAATTTCCTCAAACAGGATTTTAAAAAGTAAAGAAAGACTTTGTTAAGTCATATACAGTATATCAAAACAGCTTGTATCAAAATGTTTAGGTTTCTTTAAACCTTCCTTTATATTATACCTTAAGTTGACAGGATTCATGTTATACTTTAACTTTTCATAAGTAGCATTCTATAAAGTAGTAGCTTCACATACCTTTAATAGCTTCATTTTCATAAAAACATATATGCAGAAAGACAGCATTTTGTCTCATTTCTCCAACAATGAAAACTACTGTGGCCACACAGTGTATTAGGCACAGGGAACAGGAAACGGTGAACTGATGGGGTGCCTGGCCCCACAAGATTTACAGGCTTGCATTTGCCATGTAAGTACAGTTTAAAAGTTACAAGTGTAATGGGTGCCAAGAAGAGAAAGCAGCATAGGTCAGTATGAATGCCATAATTTAGAAAAGCTTACCAAGAGGAAATAATGCAGAAGTGAGATTTGCAAAATGAACAGGTGTTTACTTGACAAGGAAAGGATAGGTGGCAGGGAGAAGGGAGTAATCCTCATAGAAGAAACAGCACATGCAAAGAAGAGGGCCAATGACAGGAGGTAAAAGAATGCCATGGGCAGGAAAGCGGGGTTCCAGTCAGGCTGGAAGAGGCAGGCAGGAGCCAGGGCCTGAGCCTGGATGTCCAACCAAGCAGGGACACTGGTTTTACCCTCAGACTCTATCACTGTGGTAAGCCACTGGGGCGTTTTAAGCAAAGAGGTCACATGGTCAGATTTGTGTTTTAAAAAGATTCCTTTAGCTGCAGTGTAGACATTAAATAGGAAGAATGAAGGAGTGGATTAGGACAAACCAGTTAGAGGCTACAGTTTGCAGAAGGGTGAGGGACGGTGCAAAGAGAGTGAGGGCAGTAGCTGCAGTGGGAAGAAGGGGAAGGGAAAAGTTTTTAAGGTTGGGAAAAAATTAAGCAGGCTTAAGAAATGCTGATGGTAAGGATCCATAGAGGAGACAAAAACTAGAGATGTAGAAAAGAGACAATAAGAGCATAAGATTCCTGAGAAGGCAGGAAGGGAAACTGAGCAGATGCAGGGGAGAGGAGGTTCAGGGCTGGGCATTCCCGCTGGATATGAGCTCTCAGGGAGGTCAAGAGGATTTTGTTGTGAGGGAGTTGAATTCAGAGGGTTATGGAGGTTAGAGAAAGTTGCAGAGAGGACCCATGGAGAGTGATCCATTGAGAAGTGGAGAATCACCATTCTATGGGAGAGCTGATGATTCTCATCTGGCCTGGAGTCAGGCAGAACTGAGCTGCCTCCCTGAAGCACAGATGACAAAGGTGAGGGAGTGGAAGATGGATGAGGAGGAAATTCCTCAGAAGAGGGAGAAGGAGACAATCTGAAGGCCAATGGCAAGGTGCCCTGTGGAAGTGGGGGCAGAGAAATAAGCAGCCAAAGGGCCCTACAGTGGTGGTCAGGCATCTTTGAAAAGTTCACTATTTCTATGCTGAAGATAATGATGTGGAAATGCCAAGTATTGGATCTAAGAGCCGAGCTCAACATACCCCTTTCCATTAGGAAGTAGCTTGTGTATTTAGAGGACAATATCTCAGAGATTCAAACCCATATAGGAAAGACCAACATTAAAGGAACAAATTTAATAGGGCTTAATTCTTTCCTTGTCAGGTTTATAATAAAACAAAAGATGTAAAGAAAAAGAGCTTATAAGAACAATAAAAACTGAAAACAGTTCATAAAAAATTATGTATTGAAAAGGAAATGTGCTACTGCAGTTCTTTAAAACTAGGGGCCCAGTACATGAATTCGTGCACCTTGAAAGGAACTGTGGGCTGCGAGGATGCGGCAGGCACAGGGGCGGGTCTCAGCCCATGCTCCGCGCCCCGACCCGGCCCCTTCTGCTGTGGCCCCGGTCCCGTCTGCTGGCAGCCCCGCTCCCGCAGCCCCCACTCGCACCCACTGATGGTGCGGAGCGATTGGGGCTGGCGCCAGCAGTGGGTACGAGCGGGACCGGTGCCCCGATCACCCCTGAGGAGCAGGGGGAGGTAGAGAAGCCCTCAGGGGCGATCAGGGCTGCCAGCCACCCCTTGCACCTGCTGTTGGTGCTGAGTGATTGGGACCGGCACCGGACACTGGCAGTGGGTGCAAGCCGTGGCTCCAACGCTGGCTGTGGTTGTGAGCAGGGCTGACGCCGGCAGCAGGTGCAAGCACTGGTTGGGACCGCGGTGCGTGGGAGCAAAGAATTTTCAGTAACCACCAGAGGCTCACCGTGATGACAGCGACCAGCGCCCCGCCTTGGTCTGGCAACCCTGCTCACCTGCTCCACCATCCCACCATGGCTGACGCCCACCATGTTCCGCGAAAGACCCCTGGTGGTCAGCGCATGTCATAGTGACCGGATGTTCCGCCATTCGGTCTATTTGCATATTAGCCCTTTATTATATAGGATGTGAATGCTGGGGGAAATGCGTACCATTGCTGGCTAAGGTTACATGGGACCTCTGTATAATTTTTTTTGCAGCTTCCTGAGAACCTATATTTATTTCAAAATAAAAAGTACCGAAAAACCTCCCCAAATTATGTATTAAAAGCCTCCTATACCAGTGATGGCGAACCTATGACACGCGTGTCAGAGGTGACACGCCAACTCATTTTTTTGGTTGATTTTTCTTTGTTAAATGGCATTTAAATATATACAATAAATATCAAAAATATAAGTCTTCCTTGACCGGTTTGGCTCAGTGGATAGAGCGTCAGCTTGCGGACTGAAGGGTCCCAGGTTCGATTCTGGTCAAGGGCATGTACCTTGGTTGCGGGCACATCCCCAGTAGGGACTGTGCAGAAAGCAGCTGAATCGATGTTTCTCTCTCATTGATGTTTCTAACTCTCTCTCCCTCTCCTCCCTTTCTCTTTGTAAAAAAATCAATAAAATATATTTAAAAAAATATATATATAAGTCTTTGTTTTACTATGGTTGCACCTTTCAAAAATAACTTTAAACGTAAATGGACTAAATGCTCCAATCAAAAGACATCAAGTGGCTGAATGGATAAAAAAAACATGACCCATACATTTGCTGTCTACAAGAGACCCACCTCAGAAGAAGGGACTCACACAGACTGAAAGTGAAGGGGGGGAAAAATATCTTTCAGGCAAATGGAAATGAAAAAAAAGCTGGGGTAGCAATACATATATCGGACAAAACAGACTTCAAAGTAAAGGCCATAACAAGAGATAAAGAAGGCCACTTCATAATACTAAAGGGATCGATGCAACAGGAGGATATAACCCTAATAAACATATATGCACCCAATGTAGGAGCACCGAAATACATAAAAAAACTTCTGGAAGATATCAAGGGAGAAATCAACAACAATACAATCATAGTAGGGGACTTTAATACACCACTGACATCACTGGATAAATCCTCCAGACAAAAAATCAGCAAAGAAACAGGAATTCTAAATGACTCACTAGATCAGATGGACTTCATTGACATCTTCAGAACATTTCACCCCAAACTGCAGAATATACATTCTTCTCAAGTGCACATGGGACATTTTCAAAAATAGGCCACAGACTGGATCACAGGCAAAGTCTCCCCAAATTCAAGAAGACTGAAATCATACCAAGCATCTTCTCAGGCCACAATGGCATAATATTAGAAATAAACTACAATAAAAACAACCCAAAATACTCAAACACTTGGAAGCTGAATAGCATGTTATTAAATATTGATTGGGTTACCAATGAGATCAAAGAAGAAATTAAACACATCCTGGAAACTAATGACAATGAAAACACAACAATCCAAAACCTATGGGGCACAATGAAAGCAGTGCTGTGAGGGAGGTTTATAGCTCTACAGGCCTACCTCAAAAAGCAAGAAAAAATGGTAGTAAATCATCTAACTCTACAACTCAAAGAATTAGAAAGAGAACAACAAGAAAAGCCCACAGTGAGCAGAAGGAAGGAGATAATAAAGATCAGAGCAGAAATAAATGACATACAGACCAAAAAAAGAGTACATAAAGATCAATGAAACCA